TTTTGGTGGCCTCAGACTCTCAGAGAGTGATCGACGTTTCGCTGAGAGTCTTTTCAGAGCCTGAGAAGCTATGCCTATTAACGAGACGTTGGCGGCTGCTCCGAGTCTGACAGGGGGTTCAGCTTCGACTACCACCGTATTCTGTTTAAACCTTCCAGTTATCGGGTGCAAAATGAGATTCAAGAATGATTGTGCAATGAAAAAAGAAGCTTCAAGTTAAAAAACAAAAGGATTGTAATTTTTTAAACATACTGTGTTGTAAAGGTTTTTTCGGAGCCGTATCTAAAACACAAACGAAATAGCGTGAACCCGAAAAATATTTTCTTTTCCATAAGACCTTATGCCAGAAAATGTGTTTTTTGTAATGCTACAAGCTCCCGCCATTCTTTACGGTGGGAGCGTGTGGCATTCCTTTACATGCATTGTGGAGCGTTCTTCACGAAACCCCACAAAGCAAGACTAATTCGTTTCTCTCAGATACATGGCTTGCACTGATGACATACCAGCTGCCACTGTGGTAGCCTTACTGCTGAACGCGCACCCTGTGCAGCATATATTTCCCACCACCAAATTTGTTTTTTCTCGGCAAAAAAAAAAAAAAAAAAGAATACTCACGAGCATAGTGCAATCACGCAACGTGGAAGCCATTTATAGAAAGAGTGCCATTTCTTGGTGAAATGCAGCCTTCGCAACACTAGCCAAGCAGACGGCATTAACCGCTCAGATTGTGAAGTTGTCTAGTATGGAGCAGTCTCACAATGGTAGGGTAGACTAATGAAAAGTTATAGAGAATGACTGATGAAGCACAGAGCTATAAAGTTACGGTCAAGGGAATAAAATACAACATGAGCATTCCGAGGCAGTGCGCAAATTTTCTAGCTGATGGTGATGCCCAAGTGCGATATATGTTAGGATTATCATCGCGTCTCCATGTCGTTTTTGCAGTAAGGCCTCGTCTCGTGTATTGAATCCTTTTGAAGATTTATAGATTTAGTGCATTTGCCTTCGGCTCTATCATGTGAGCAGGTGATTTGTTTTTACGTACCTTTTACCTAATATTTCACAATGCCAAAAAAAAAAAAAAAAAAAAAAAGTTTTCAGGGGCCGGCTTAGTAGCTGGCATATTTTCAAGTAACGTCCTCCCGTGCCGGTCTCAAGCGTACACTCAAATTTTGATTACGATAAATATTTATCTAATTACTGACCGAAGTTTTGACAATTCAAAAGAAGAGCTCACGCTTTTATTCAAGATATACATCGTAAGTGAATGCACTCGCCTATTACTGAAATATTACTTGCTAATCTTTTCCGGCGTTTTATTCTGCATAGGCACCCATACCATTGATTTGCCAAATCTGCAAGCTGATTTAAAGGAATGCGTTTTCTTACGTATAAAGGACTCTTTCATGCATAGAAGCCTGTTAATGCTAATTCTGAGTGATGGTAAGAAATCTTAAGCGTCTGGGAGCTGGACTTCAACAAAACACACAGGGGCGCGTAGTTAAGCTCTGAAAATCCCTTGGTCACACACTCAGATCGAAAGAAAGCTACTAAGCAGCTGCTATGTCGGGTAGAGTATCAAATACAACTTTGCTCTATTAAAAAAAAATCAGAAATTTACAATCCTTTGTAACGCCGAATCAGAGTGCAGCTTTTGAGGAGGAGGAGGGGAGTGTACGGAGGGGGAGGGTATGCCGCTCCTCCTCCCCCTCTGTACCCTCCCCTCCTCTTCACCCGCTTTGCTTCCATTTAGCGGGAGATTTTCGTTAGATTTCCCGCTAGATTTAGCGAAAATTTCCCCACAAGATTTAGCGTGAAATTTAACAAAAATTTTCCCGCTAAATTTAGCATCGAAATTTTCCCTCTAAAGTTAACGGGGAAATTTTGCGAACATTTTCCCACAAAACTACAAAACTTAGCGGGTAAGTTTTGCCGCTAAATTTAGCGGGAAAAATTTTGTCCTTGTCAAACTTGTCCATTGTCTTCCTTGGATTTGAGGAGCATTGAAAAATGATCTCAAACACAGCTCAGTCGAGCTTGTATATAATTTAACTCTTCGCCTACCAGGAGAATTTTTAGAGAGATAGCATTATTAATCTACTACAAACGATTTTCAGCTGTGTATTATCTGGTCTCCTGATGCGCAGTAGGTATGCGCTGCAGACAATTTTAGAACGCTGTGCTTGTACCCCATTGCGGCGCGCGTATGCGGAGCGGCAGTACGCACTCCTTCATATTCGCACCCATTTCAAAGGACCTGGCGATCTTGACGTCGTCCTAGAGGTCGTCCTCTAGGACGTCGTCGTAAATGTCGTCCTTGAGGTCGCACTTGAGATCAACCTTAAAGTCGTCCTAGAGGTTGCCCTAGATGTCGTCCTCGACGTGGCCTTGAGGTCTTCCTAGAGGTCTTCCTTGAGCTCGCCCAGGGGGGCTGTGCGAGACGGCGGGACGAGGCGGGACGAAGTGACCGGGACATCGCCGCCTGCTGCGATTGGTCAGCAGGGTGGCGCTAACCAATCGCAACAAAATTTATCGGGGAGTTTCCCGCTAATTTTAGCGGAATAATTGACATCGCAATCTACGCACCAATTCAGTCTCCCCGCCAAATTTGGCTGTGTGCCACAATAAATGCTATCGCGTTCATATATAATCACCCCTGTGGTTTCTACAAATTGCCTCGACCATCGATCTGCTTCCCTGTAATTTTTTGGAGTCTGGACCCGAGGTCCCAGCTCTTGATCATATGACGTACATATATCAGGTGCGAGCGACGATGACAAACCTCCGGCCTATGCCACCGCACATTCAAAATTGAAACACAGTATACGAATCAAACGATCTCGACAACTGCAGCCACATCTTTCTGCAAAAAGACGGCGTCAAGAGATCTTTACAACAACCTACTCTGGGCCTCACAAAATAATTTCAAGGCGAGCGAAAACCTCCATCATTGATTTCAACTGGCGTCAAGAAAATGTTTTTGTCGACCGCCTGAAGCCGACTCATCTGGAATATCTCCCCAATACAAACGATACTAGTGATACTCATACCCTCAACGCTCAACAGACCACCTACCCATGCGGTTTCTCGGAAAGACGAATTCCTTTAACAAATACGATTCAAACGAATATTTTGCCGTACACCTCCAACCAACACGAACCCTCGAGATTTGAACGCGCATGAACCGAATTCAACCGATGTGACTCTAGACATTCAAGAGCCAAACCGTCTACCTTTGCCCTACCGCCCGCGCCGACCACAACCCATCTCAAACAAGCATCTCGGGGATTTTCATGGTATCTAACACCTACATACATATGAAGCAAATAAAAAAATCCGAAAAAACTTAAGCACTTCTTAAGAGTTATGAATGCGAAAGCATGAAACTCCAAGGGCTTCGTTCTCTTGCCGCCTGAGACGCTTTGAATAGCGATCCGCTTGTGCCTCACGCTTTCGAATGGCTTTGTTCTGTCTCCTATAGCGTGTTTCGCCGATGCTCGTTCCGCCCGCCTTGGATTCGTAGACTTGACAACGATGGTGGATTTCGCTGCCTGCCTCCACGCTTGCTGTTTTGCGTTATTCCGCTCCCTTAGTTCGTCTGCGGTGTACTCGCGTGGACGGGCAGGTTTCGCTACTGCCGAGGGTGCGGCCCCCGATAATGTAGATGCTTGAGGCGCCGCCATGTTCGTCGGCGTTGAGAGGAGCAGAAGCGGCCGAGAGCGCGCCACCGCGTTCGTTTTACCAGCGCGGGGCCTGCGGCGCCATGGGGTGGCGTTCCTTGAAACTATGACGTGCGCCAGCCAATGGGGGCCTCGTTCCTTGAAACTATGACGCGCGACAGCCAATGGGAGCCTATCCATCAAATCTCTGCTACAGACGACAGGCTTCGCTCCATAAGAGAAGGGAGTTTAGGTGCCGTTTTGCACGGCTTCTGGAGCTGATAACGCCGGTTCTCTCCACGGGACCTGTTAATGCTTTCGCATTAAAATAATTCTCTGTTTGTGGGCGGCAGAGGAAACAGAGGCGAGGGTTAGTGCTTGTGGGCATTGATGGACTGCTCGTCCAATTGAGCAAAAACGAAGACGACGAGAAATACTGTCATTCACGAACGAACGCGGCGACACAGCACGCTCGACGATTCCGACCATGAATCAATATCGCGGATCCTGTTAAACTTTATGAATAATATACATAAATATGTAGTGCCATGAATAGGGTACTTACAAAATAAATGTGTTCCACTTCATAATTGCGTTTCATTCCATTATTTCCGTTACATAAAAAAAGTTACATTCAATACATCTGTTTCATTTTACTAGGCTCGGCATGTAGACGGTCTAAAACTTATGGCCGTGTTCCTTCCCGGTTATTTGACTCAAAAACTCCTAGTAATTGACTTTGCTATAACCGGATAAACCTCTTATCACGCATAGTGAATGCACCGCCGTAATCATGCTCTTCTTCATACGTGATTGGCTTGTCCGGTGTTAGGAAACGCACAAGGACTAATGCCCCTCGAGCGTCGTGACGGTGTACGTTTGGCTCTGCTTCATTGGCTCCGTTCAATCGCTAGCGAGTCAGCGCTGTGTCTGTACCTGCTTTGTTTCTTGTGTCTCTTTTTACAAGTCTGTCTTGTTTTACAAGTTTAGTGCTCATGCTGTTTTTGTCAAAGAAAGGCTTGCATCACCTCGTCACAGACACCGCACGAATTTCGGAGCATATTAAAGACCGCCCACCCGATTGGTTGAGGATATGAAGGAAATGGCAACGATTGGGGTTCCAAGTGCATTGCGCTGCGGTATGCACTCGGGGATTTATGAGAGTGCATGGTCGCGTGGTGCTTTAAAGGCACGGCATTGATGCGATCTGTTTGTGGTATCGATCTTCGAGTCGAAAAGTGATATTGGTCCGAGTGCATTCGCGAAGGAAAAGGGACAATGCCATAATCGGAATCGACGCTGGGTGGATCAACGGTCGTTTCGAAAACGAGGCATACTCACTCCCTGTCCAGAGCGAGGCATTCCACTCCGGGGTCCAGAGAGACTACATTCGCTGTCCGCTTGTCTTCTCTGCGCACGTAAAGAGAGAAATTTCACAAATGCGTCCGGTTAAGCAGACCGTTACGGAAGGAACGATGCCAAAGTGCTGCGCGGCCAGAACCACGTGGTGCACAGAAAACAAAGGGCACAAGATCGACTCTCACTTTACAGCGGGCGAGGAAAAAAATGCATTCGGAGGCATCACGCTTAAAAGATTGGAAATGACCTCTGGCATTGACGTCACATCAACTGCCACTGTGGTGGTCTTGCGTCTAAACGGGCACCTTGTTTCATGACAGTCTTTTAATCACCTGCTGTCTGGCATCTCGAAAAAATTGTAGTTAGCGCAATATTTATGGCCTTTTTTTTAGAGATACGAGCTTAATTAAGCTCGTGAACGATTTAAATAAGTATGCAATATTTTAAGTCAGAACGACAGAATCAATGGGACGTCAAAGCACGTTCCTTCTATACCCTAATGTTTCACACCTTTTCAAGGGATCGACTATCAGACAGGGTTTCCGTAAAGCGTATGTTTTATGGGAGAGATATGCACGAAAAAGTAGGCGCCTTTTCAAAAGTACGCGCCATTTGGTAGCTACCGAGCCAATTATCGGATTCCGCCATTGTTTTAGCACGCGCTTTGATCACGTATTGGATGGGAGGTCTGCTTTGAACTCGGTTCGTATCAAGAACGAGTTCTATTTCAGAGTTCGGCCTGAACTTGATTCCAATCCCACGCTTGGTGCCCAAGAAATGGCGACCGCCGATGTTGCCTTATGGTGTTTTGCAAGGGGTCCATTGAACTAATGAGAAACGTCATCCACGGTAACGACGTTAACGAGTTGTTGCTTTCAGCCATATCTGTGGCTGAGAGCAACAACTCTTATATCACCAGGCCGTAGTGCTCGATTTTTTTACGTCACCAGCTGGAGGCTAGTGCGGGGTGGTGATTGGTCACGAATGCTGCGTCAGGGTTCGGTTGGGATTCGTGCCGAATCAATGAGGAGACGAGTCGTGTCCAAAGTAGCATTGGCCTCCAATGCGTGCCGTAGAAGAACCAGCACATGCGGTCTTGTAGTCTAGAAGGTGGTGCTGAGTGACACACTGGAAACTTGCGTACAGTTTACACCAGGCAGTGTGGCGTGTCGAGTGTACGCGACGATAGGCTCCATCGAACGTGCCCACTCGCCTGAGCAGTGCTTGCTCTCCAAAGTAGTCTCCGCGATTGAGGATCCTAATTTCTTCTTCCTGGTTGGTACCTTCGATCCGCTTGGTGACCTTCACCTGCGTGACAAGCAAAATGGGTGTTGTAAGAAAACAAAAAAAGAAAGACATTTACAACTCCATGTAATGCCGAATTAGAGCGCAGCTGTTGAGGAGGAGGAGGGGAGGGTACGGAGGGTACGATATGCCCCTCTTCCTCATCTGTACCCTCTCATCCTCCCTCCCCACCTACTCCTCCCGTGCTCTTCGCCTCCTCACCCTCCTCTCATCTTCATCCCTCCTCCTCATCCCCTCCTCCCTCCTCCTCCTCCCCTCCTCTCTCCTCCTCCTCCAACTTCCCCTCCTCCTCCCTCCCGCTCGGTGCACTATGAGAAACGTCCCATAATGCAACGCGGTGACGTTTCGGCAAGATGCCGAAACGTCACCCTCGTAACGTCACGACGGTCCCGGGCGTTGCATTATGGGACGTTTCCCATGATGCACCGCGCGGTTACGCCGACGGCGATGCCAACGCCGACGCCGCTCAAGCCAGAAACTTGCGCCTAAGTGCTGCGCTCTAAAAGTAGAAATGTCAGCTGCAGGGGTTTAGGAAAGCATAATGAGCACGCGACAAGGACAGGAGAACGGTAGTCGAGTTCGTGTCGGGATATTATTTGTTTTGTCAGTAAAGTTGTACTACTTACGTGCTCGATTCCTCAGTTATCTCTTTGTTGTTCATCTTGCGTTTATTTCTATAATGGCCATTACGGTACTCTGTAAGACATGGAGTGGCCCTACGGAATTCAACGGCGGCACTATCATTCGTACTGTTTTTAGAATGGTCCAATAACTTCCTACTGCGTGCTGCCCTCTTTGTATCGCCGGATCATCATAATCTCCTCTGTGCTAAATATTTTGGGCTGCGCATACTTTCTCAGCTCAGTGACAAGAATCACTAGATACATTTTGGCTAGGTGATAACCATTGGAAATGTCAGTACTGTTTAAAAGGAGGCAGGATAAGTGTAATATTTTCAGAAAAAAGGTTACCGAAAAATGTCGCCTCAGCACTCAAAGGCCGGTTTATGGATCGTCAGGTGACGAGTTCGACTCCCGGCAGAAGTGCCCACAATCTGATAGAAGCTTGTTGTGGAGAAGGTGCCGCGTAACCGAGATTTGGGTTGCACGTCAAAAGATCCCAAGGTGATCGATATTAACAATCAATACCCCCCCCCTCCTCCCCCCCCCCCCCCCCCCCCAAGCTGGGGCGTGAAAGATGCCTTTGCTGGTTTGGTACGTAAGATTCCCAAATTTAAAGTCATTTTAAAAGTGTTTGAAAAATAAATAAGAATAACAAACAACGCTTGAACGCATCGTAACAGCACATTTATTTGCTGTTGGGGAAAAATGCAAGGCGTTGCCAAGAACTGCGCGAAACAAGGGGACTGATGGAGGCCTCAATTTATCGACGCAATTCATCTACACAGCCATAGCTGTGTAGATATAGAGAGAAGATTACTTTGTCTCGAATACCCGCATGAATGGGCTAGCACAAAATTTGTGGCGCCTACGTAATTTCTCTTTACCCATGAGATGCATAGAAACGGCTCTGAAGATGAGGCTGTTCAGGCAAATATTTCTGTAAAATATTTTTTTTTCATGTTGTTTACTGTTTTAAATGTCGTGGCACAAAGCTTGCCAGTGAAATTTGCATTGAATGGTAAAGAATTAATGAAATGGGCAAATTTTGTTTATTTTGTGGTTAAGACTAGACTAATTATTACGTCCCTTAAAATTTCTTAACGTAATTAATTAAGGCTATTTTTAATCACAAACGAATTATAGTAAGTGCCATTAAATTACCTCAGAAACGTAATGGTAATACTGTGAAAATGACTTTTTATGTTCAAGTGAATATACACATCACTTCCCTATTTTTTTCAAATTAATTAATTTGAGGTATTGTTAGGTGCAAATTAAAATAGAGTTATTACAATTACATTATCTCGAAAAGGTACTACCGCAATAGCTCTTAAGTTCTCCGAAATTTATGTGTACGAAGTAAACTTGAAACGTTTCTGAAATAAGTAGATTGGAAATTCAGCTTGTGATAAGCTTTATTGCAAAGTACAAAGTAAATTTAGATCGTGCTGAATACTATTTTAACTGGGACCATAAAGCTTTCCCGCTCAAGAGAACAATAAATTGTGTTTTGTGAAATACGTCGTAGTCCTTTTGTCTCAAATAACTAGTAAAGAAATTGAAGCCCACAGAGTAAGACCATGACATATAGAAAAAAGCTCTCACAAGTAAACACATTCACGGAGGGAAGGTTTTTTTCCACTGTAATTGTATACTCCAAGACCTAGCGGCGACTAACTTCGTTATTTTGTTGACTCTTCCAACTTATTCGGGGGCCCGGATATGTTTTCAGGGCACCACTTAGGCCAGGGTTCTCTCGGGGGAACCCGTCCTCGTGGAGGATTCCTTTAAAAGCCTCTTCGCGTCCACGCCAGTTTCAGAAACACAATTAACGTCAAGAAGTGTCTCCTTCGCCATCTCAACGCGAGGCGGAGTATGTCGAGGAAAGCGTAGGATCTTTTGATGGGCGCGTGACAGCTCTTCAGCGTCGCGGCTTGGGCGGGTCACTGTCAAAACATATTTTTCGCAACGAGCGTAACGCGAAGATTAAAAAAAAAAAGAAAAACGTTTTTTAAAGAATTTCGCGGGGAAGTGACGGGGAGCCCCAATCAAGTTTTTCATCGGCGCAACTATTCCGAAGAAATATGAGCTACGGTGGTGCTTGCGAGGCGTACGTTAGGAATTTATATGATTTGTTTTGTTTGCTAATGCAGGGCTGCTATAGCAAACGGAGCCCCTGACTTCCAGAAATTTGCTCGTCCGTAAATTTCCAAACTAAATTTAGCGAGGAAATGGGTGTCACGTGACGTTGTTATATCGCGTGACACTATGACTTGGCAATGCGACTTTAATCATGAGACCACGTGGCATGACGCCAGGTCCCGTAATGTGGCGTCAAAGTGTCAAGTCATGGTGTCAAGTCGTACCATGTCGTCATGTTACCTGACGTCACGTGATGTCGAGTTTTGTTACGCCAATTTTCCCCTTAAATTTTGCGGGGGAATAACAACAATTCGTTCTTCACTCCCGAAACGATTGTCTGATGATAGTAAATAAATTTCAAAGATTGCTTCTTAAATACTGCATGATAGAACTTGAAAGATCAAGGTCGCTGGCAATATGTTTCGATGGAATATATCCTAAACAGAACAGGGCACTAGAACCATTACAACAAAGACAAGGAGAAGGGGAACTTACACTTCCGTGGCTGATTATGAAGAAAGTGTCTCCTGACGTTCCTTGCCTGATGATGTACACCCCCGCCGGATAAAAATCCTGCGAGAAAAAGAAAACCGTATGTTAGCACCTATGTTTACTGGAATGTTCTATGCTGCCGGCGTTTAGAGTTAATTTTTTTTATTAACGTCAATGGTAATGTAGGGGTCCAGGGTAGAGCTACACCATGTGAACGGTTAACACCTCTCCACCTTTGCTCATGCACAGATTCTTTCTGCTTTTCTTGAAGAGTGACGCGCTACACTAAAGCGCTCGGGAGCAAGCGTGATTGCATCGTCGACCCCGGTAACCCTCGAGCAAATCAACAAATGATTTGTCAGTACTTTCCAGTTAAAGAGTATCGCCAAGCCATCCCCATTGCCATCGCAAACGGCTTCCATCTTCAACAAAAGCGCTGGGAATAATGTTAACCCTCGTAGCGGTCATGGGAACAGCTACACCATGCGGATGGCTAACTGTTCTTCGTTCTTGCTCATACAGCTTGGTTCAGTTCTTTCTTCGCATTCTAGAAAAACAAACGACGTTTCGCTCATTGTGTTCCCATACCCACAAACGACACTACGTATTGCATACCAGTGCTTCGGTGTTTTGAAACTACGGCTACCATTTGGCTACGTCGAAGTGAACCCTGGACTCATGCCTGAAGCACAGTGCATACAGATCGATGTAATGCTGAGCCTACCACAATATCTAAACACACGGTCAATGAAATTTGAGGAAGGGCAGGCAGTAATAATCAGTTATATGATTAAACTAAGGGAGAAGCAAGCTATGATCGAAAATAGATTAAGCTCTCGTGACGGAAGGCGATCGGCAGTTGAATCCGGAACATCAGCGATTAACGAAGTTCAGCAGGGGTAAGTGCCACGCGCTAGAGCGTCGAACACCTTTAGGACGAGGCTGCTTTTCTACGCTCGCGTTTTTATTTTTAGTTTATCTAACAATACTGGGGACCCCCCAAAAAAAGGGGGGGGGGGGAATCCAAGAAGGACACCCACCCGCCCCCCCCCCCCCCCACACACACACACACACACACTTCAGGGTCTGCAGTATTGTCTTCCAGTCGACGAAATGGAAGACAGACCTAGTCGCGACAACTTAAAGGAGCTGTGCAACACTTTCAGTGCCTTGCTTAAATAATTTGGGAGTTGGCGTCTAGACCTTTCTAAAATAAAGAAAAAAAAAAGACGCTTATTTTGCCTTTCTCAACATCGATTTCGCAAATAAGTTTAATGTGAACACAGGTAGCATCATTCACGCATGACCTTTATTATATCATTGATAGTGGCTCTCAGGTAGATGGCATATTTTTTTATTACTCTAAAGCGTTTGATAAAGCGCACCATACCTCGGTCTTAGGCAAACTTAGTCAACAAAATATTGATCCGACTGTGCTTATATGAACCGAGTCTTTTTAACGAACCATAAACAATCCGTCAACATTAATAATTCAAACTCTGCTATCTGATTTGTAACATCAGGTGTGCCCCAGCGTTTAGTTCAATACGTTGGTCCGTTACTGTTTCTCATTTACATCAATGACTTACCCTACCATGTATCTTTAAAAATGTCCCTATTTGCAGTCGAATGCGCTATTTATGACGGGATTACTAATGACCCTTATTTAAATCTACTACAAAATTATATTAATAATCCTTCTGAGTGGTGCAACTTGTGGTCAATGCTCCTTAACAGTAATTAATGTAAAGTTATGAGAGTGTTGTGTTTCAGCTGAGCCCCATTATACTCTTAACAGTTGTACCTTTGAATCGGATTTTGTTTACAAGTAACTAAGAGTTCATCTTACATCTAATCTATTATGTGACGCACATCGACTACAGTGCTAACAATGCTAATCGCATGGTAGGCTTTATCAAAACAAACTTTAATTTTGCTTCTCAATTTTTAAAATTATTTTTATACAAACCCTCGTAGTATCCTGGCCAGAATATGCTTCGTTCATTTGGAACTCTTGTCAGCAAATATGAATTGATCCACTCGAAGCTACGCATACCAGATCGTCAAATTTATATTTTTAAAATCGCATCAAACAGCCAGCGTTAACTACTCTAAAATCTAATCTCCCTCTGTCCCTGATTCATCGACCCGTAGAAATACAAACCGGATAACTTTATTTTATAAAATTTATTACACCAACGTCACGCTTCGCTGTAGGCTTATCACAACTCCTTTTGATGTTTCACCTGGGCTCGACTACTCATAAAGCGTTGGCATTCCATTTGCTCGCCCCAGTCTTTCACCACCCTTTCATACCATCTACAGACTGTGACTGGAACAATCATCCTCCTTCCACGGTCTCAATCACAAATCACTTTTTCTTTAAAAGCATCCTAGACTGTCCGATTATCCAACCAATGCTTATCATTTTTCCCCCACGCGCTCTATTCCGTTTCAACTTACGTGTACCCACTTCCCCTATCGGCAATGCTTATGCCCTGAAAGTAAAATAAATACCTAAATAAGTAAATATCTAAATAGAATTTCGCTTGCCTGGTTCCGAGAAGGAATAGGTGTTCCGCTTTAGGTCTGACCTCAGCCGAATGTACGACCCGATTTAGCCAGCCAAATGGGCATCGTTCCGGCGCTCGTTTTCTTTTTGCGGACTCGATATCACCGTGGCTAAACCAATCGCGGCACCAGAGAAGGATGGCGGCGCAATCACTGCGCGCGATTGGTTTAGTCGATGATAGCGAACGCACAAACACAGCGAGCGCCGTGACGATGCATTTTCGGCGTTACCTGATTGGCTCCGTCGGATCGTATGCGGCGAGCAAGTCGTCCGCTTCTTGCGTAGAAGTTGCGCTGACGTCAGAAGGACACCGAACTATGATTGGCTTTGACTGGAAAGATAGTAGGTAGACGTCAACGCTAAATGCCTCGATGTCTACCCACTATTTTTTTTTTAATCAGCCAATAAGAGCTCGGCATTCTAACATCATTGCAACCGCCATGCAAGAAGCAGACGAACTTGCGCTTCGCATAGTGTCGGCTGCGGTTCGACCGCAAGCTCGTCTGCTTCGTGCGCACCTCGTGCGCGTTTGTTTACCCCCTAAATGAGCCCGCGTGCGTTTGTTTATGCCCCTCCGACTTCAACCAATAATGACGCGAGTTTCACCCCGCCTTGTCATTACGAGTTATCTACGCGTTCCCCGTGTTGTCCTTTGATTGGCGTGCCCCCCCTTTGCGTTCCCATGCGACAATTAGACGCATTGGAACACTTACTTGGCTCCCCGTATAGTGCCTCGACATAGCTGACAGCTTGATAATGAATTACAATTATGTTTAAGGCTGGACTGTGATTAAACATATTTAACCCAAGTAGTTGCCACATTTTAATCGATTAATTAATCGACTAATCGGAATATTTGATTTCCATGCATAATAACTTAAAAATATCTGAAATTAAGTTTTTTTGTTGCTTTTGATGAATATGTGATAAACGGAGCAATATATAAGTTTGGTTATGAATCAACCTCGATGTCCAGTTGAGGATGGATCAAAGACGCACGATTATTACTTCAGCTGCACGAGACAAAGCGCTTCGCTGATATTTTCCGGCAAAAGCGACCTCCTTTGATTGTTTCCAATAGTCACTGCTGCGCTAAACGGACACTCACACGACATTCAGGTGGCCGGTATACGTGTAACGTTCTGCACTTGTCTGGAATTACAGGTCTTGCCCCCACAGTTTATTTTAGTTTAAAATTTCACTTAAAGTTTCACCTTAAGACAGGTGCCCTCGTCCCTGCCTGCTTGAGTAAAGCGTTTGACTTTTACCTTTTTTTGGTTCGTAGACATTTTACCGATTGGGCGGTTAAATGTTAATTGCGATTAAAGCGTTAATAGATTAATCGGTAAGTTAATCGATCAATTGCCCAGCCCTAATTATGTTACAAGTTACAAATATGGTTCGTCATTGAATTATATATTACAAAATTTCTTGAAAAAGTGATAAATTACAAACACCCCATTTCTTCCAAATCCTTATGCATACTCATCATTATCTGATTTGTCAGTGTTAAAGCGCACATTTCTCAGTGCTAAGAAAACACAGACATTAAGTACTTCTCTCACACTATACATTTTCAATGGGATTCTTGCACGAGACCACGATGTAACGCTACTACAGGTTCATAAATCTCACCGGAACCCGCTGGAATCCATGTTGAAGGCATATTTTCGTCGCTGTTTTGCTAATGTTCTGTGCGCTTTGGGGCCGTGTTGGCACTGTCGTTTGTCCACCCACTCGCGCTTTAAAAAGGTCAGTTTTGCCGTAAATAATTATTTCAACCCTAAAAGTTGGCGACAACGAAGTTACGGCCAGCAGTATTTTTTTTTTTTTTTTTATAATTTCGGAAATTATTAGGAATATGGGCAAGGTGACGTTCGAGCAATCGGTTCGCCCGCGTTATGAATGGCCCTTACGGATACGCCGGCAGAACCTCGACTGGGCGGGTAAAGACGGGAGCAGAACGCGACGAATCCTGGGCGCTAACGTCCTCGGTCTTGAGAGAAAGAACGACAAAGAAAGCGGCAAAAAGACCGGAGAAAGAAAGCAGACGAAGGGTTAGGCGTGTTTGTTTTGCCGCGACAAGTTGAAAGTGCTTGAGTGCTTGTCAACTTTATTTAATTTCGTCCATGCGCGATTCCGGTAATTTTCTGCACAGTAAAAGAGCAAATAATAAGGCACAGAACTTACACGGGATAGTTTGCTGCATCTTTGCGCCGATGGGGCTGAGGGCTAGTTGAGCTTCTTAATGAAACTTTTCCCCTTTTGCTCCACCATTTCTTTAAGTGGAAATAAATATTATTATTATTATTATTATTATTATTATTATTAATGCGTCGTCATTGATATGGACACATCGGGACCGCCAACATGGGACCGCTGATGTCCGCTTCTATGACCCGCCGTTCCGATGCGGCCAAATGCATGGCATCTTTCGCTCTAGATTATTATATGAACTCTATGATCTCGTCAGAAGAGCTTCATACCTGAATTAAGGGTCTGTGGACTG